TGCTTTTCCCCTCATTTCTCTGCCTTTTCACTCTCACTCCCCTTTGCCCTTTCCCCCATTTTGTCCTATTTTCCCTTTTCCTTGATTTTCCCCCAATTTCTTTACTTTACCGTATTATCCCCCAAAAATCCCTCAAATCTCCCAAATCCCTCCATTATCCCCCAAATCTCTCCATTTTTTGCTACTTTCTCCTTCTCATTGATTTCCCCCCTATTTCTTTTCCTCCCATTTCTTTATTATCCCAATTTATTCCCAATTTCCCTTTTTTTTTTTTTTTTTTTTTCCTTTTTTTTTTTTTTGTTTCTTTTTTTTTTTTTTATTTTACCTTTTCCTTCTCTCCCAATTTCCCTGTCTTTCCTGATCCATGGCTCCAGTTCCTGCCTGGGCTGCAGGGTCTCTGTGGGGAGGCTCTGGAGGCTCTGGAGCAGCAGCGCCCTCGGAAGCGGTGCCTGGACCATTTCCCTCTCGAACCTGGGTGGGAAACACTGGAATCACCCTGGAATCACCACGGTTTTCTCCAMATCCACAGCATTTCCCCCTCAGTTCCCAAATCCACTGTAGTTTTCCCTAAATCCGCCACACGTTCCCCAAATCAACCTCATTTTTTCCTCAAAATCCTCTACATTTTCCCAATTCCCAAATCCACCATCTTTTCCTCCAAATCCACCACAGTTTTCCCCAAATCTGTGACACTTCTCCCCAATCCATTATAGTTTTCCCAAATCGACCTTATTTTTCTCTAAATCCAGTAAGTTTTCCTTAATTCACTTTGGTTTTCCCCAAATCCACCACATTTCCTCTAAATCCACCCCACTTTTCCCAAAATCCCCCATCCTCCAGACCCACGCAGTGCAGAATTCCAGCCCCTCTAAATCCATGGAATCCTGGAGCAGGCTGGGTCCGGCCCTGTTCCGGTCCCACCCCAGTGTCCCCCCATTCCCGGAGCCCCGGGATTGCCCCCAGACGCACTCAGGGAAGACGATGACTGAGCCGGACGAGGTCAGGGCGGCCATGGGGACTCCCCCAGGCACCACCATGTCCAGGAGCTCTGGGATCTGCAGTGGAGGAGAACAGGGGTGGGACCTTCTCCCTGGGGATGAGGAACTCAGCATTAGAAGACCCCAAAGATGGTGGGATCTTCTCATCATGGATGAGTAACTCAGCCTTGGAGGAGTCCCAAGATGTCTGGAGCTTCCTACCATGGAGAAGGACCTCAATGATAGAAGAACCCAAAGATGAGGAACCCAAGGCTGGAGGAGCCCAAAGAGGACCCCAAGGATGGTGGGACCTCCTTAACATGGATGAGGGAATGCTGGAGGAGCCCAAAGATGGTGGGATCTCCTCAGTGTGACCAAGGGACTTGAGGACCCCAAAGGTGGCGGGATCTCCTCAATGTGGATGAAGAACTCAGCATTGAAGGAGTCCAGAGACAGTGGGATCTTCTCCCACGGATGAGGAACTCAGCATTGGAGGAGCCTGAGGAGGACTTCAAAGATGTTGAGACCTTCCCCATGTGGATCAGGAAATGATGGAGGATCCCAAAAATGGTGGAATCTTCTCAATATGACCAAGGGACTTGAGTACCCCAAAGATGGTGGGATCTTCTCCCTATGGATGAGGGAATTTTGAAGGACCACCCCACTCCCCTCCCCCATCCCCTCAACCTCCTTACCTTAAACACCCCCTTCTCCAGGTTCTGCTTCCCGGCTACCGCCTCCAGGAAGTCGTGGTAGAACCTCATCCGGACTTTGCACTGCTCCACCAGCAGGACCCCGATGTCCCTCAGGACCAGGGCCACGTCGTTGCCTGTCCCCAAGCACCGTGACAGGAGGGACGTGGTAGCCTGGAGGGCGCCCTCCACCCTGTTCCGGGGCAGCCCCAGTGCCTCTGCCACCTCGAATGTCCGGAGGGGATCCAGTTTCCCTGGGAGAAGATGGGAAATGAGGGAATTTGGGGTGTTCTCGAGGGGGTTGGGGTTTTCTGGTGGAGTTTTCTCAAGGTTTTTTGTGGTCTCCTTGGGGTTTTTGGAGTCTTCTTGGGGATTTTGGATCTTCTTTGGGGGGATCCTTGTGGTTTTATGGGGTCTTCTCATGGGTTTTGAGGTCCTATCATGGTTTTTTGGAGTCTTCTCAGGGTGTTTTGTGGTCTTCATCTGGTATTATGAGGTGTCCTTGAGAGTTTCAGGGTCTTTTCATGGGTTTTTGGTGTTTCCCTGTGGGTTTTTTTTTTCATGCACTTTTGCTGTCTCAGCAGGTCTTTTTGGGGTCTTCTCATGTTTCATTTTGAGTCTCCTCAGGATGTTTTCCTTCCTCCCACACCTTTCAACCCTAAACCCTCTATTCCCCACTCCATTCCTCAACCCTCCTCCATTTCCCACCCTCCTCCTCCATCCCAAAATCCCTCCCTCTCACCAGGCAGGAATTCCCAGTCATCCATCAAATTGTGTTCCTGGACCAAATTCCTGGCTGGGCAAAAAATTGGCCTCCGCGTTGTCACTTCCATGTCCCCAACCCACACCCGCCAGGGCACCGCGCCCAGGGTACCGAGGGTTGGGATCCACACCCCCTGCAAACAGAATTTTGGGTTTTTGGGATCTGTGACCCCTGGAAGCAGAATTCTGGGATTTGGTGAATTTCAGGATTTTGGGATCCACACCCCCTCTAGAAGAGGATTTTCAGGATTTTGGTATCCACATGTCCTGGAAGTGCAATTTTGGGGATTTTGGAATCTTCTCACCCCCTTTGAAGCAGAATTTTGGGATACACAACTCCTGGAAGTGGACTTTTGGGATCTGTGCCCCTGCAAGCAGAATTTTGGGATTTTGGAATATGCACTTCCTGCAAGCAGAATTTCAGGACTTTGGGATCCATATACCCTGGAACCAGATTTTTTTTGGTTTTGGGATATGCAGCCTCTGGAACTGGAATTTTAGGTTTTTGGGTGAGCCAGAGGTATCCTCAATTGCCAGGAGGGTACACGGGGGGAAGTCCAAGGTGACCTTGTTCTGCAGCAGGAGCTGGTCCAGGAYAAAGTCAGCCACTGCATCCCAAATTTCCTTCCGCTCTGGGAATTGAGGGAAACTGAGTCAGGATCCTGACAGATCTTGACATTCATGGGAATCGAGTGGGTGCTGGTACCTTCGGGGGTGATGGCTGAGGCCACCTCTGTCCCYCCCCAGAGCTCCACCTTGGTCCTTCTGGCAATGGGAGGGCAGGAGCTCATTCTGCATCCCTCCGGATTTGGGATTGGGATGTGGGATCAGGATGTAGGGTCTGGGATGTCCCACCAACAGACCAGCTCCCGTTGCGTCCTCAGGATGCTTGGTGACAACACTGGTGGTCCTGGTGGTGGCACTGTGACCTCAATGGGGCCTCTGTGACCTCACGGTGACACTGCGGCGATGGGGTAGGGAGGGGGCATGGAACATGGAATTTGGACATGGGGGATATGGGGGATGGGGGACGTGGGATGGGGGACAAGAGACACGGGGGACTGGACATGGAATGGGGGATGGGAGATGGGAACATAGGATGGGGGACAAGGGGTACATGGGAGAAGGGACATGGAATGGGAAACATGGGGGATATGGGGGACTTCAGGTTCCGATATTCTCCAAAATGAGATCAAAACTCAAACAAAGTTATCTGTTGGCACCAAAACCCTGATATTTTCACTTTATTGACTGTAAAAGAGGCAAAGAGGAAGAAAGGGAAAAGCAGTTTCTGCCTTTTTTCCCCGTGCCGCTGGAAGCGGCTTTATCTGTGTTTCCTGTGCGGGGCTGCCAGCTCAGCTGCAATGCAATCCCACTGCGTTCTGGGGTGCAAGCGCAGGGCGCGCTCCCTGCAGCTCACAGGGGACTCCGCTCCACACCAGCTGCTCACTCCCTCTCACACATCTCGCCGCTCCCCTGAGCACAGGTATCGGGGGATTCTCTCTGGCCCTGCCCCTTCCTCCTCCTGGGGGGCCCTGCTTCCTCTTCCTCTCTCACTGAGGGGTTGGTGATGATTTGCTCTTGGGTTTCCTCTTGTGCAGAGCAGCAGCTGCTCCCAGCACGAGCTGATCCCGGCTCAGCTGCAGTTGCAGTGACCACGATGCTGCTGCTCTGCTCTCCTGCTCCTCCTCCCCTGAGGCTGCTGTCCAGGGACCAGCAGTGGCCCAGAAACAGCAGCCAGGGCCCAGCAAGGCTGCATCACTCTGCACCTCTCTGGAGCTGCTGCAGGGCTTTCCTTCACTTATTTTATCACTTTCACAGGGTCCTGTAGCTGCTCAGGGGTGAACTTCCTGGTGAACCACTGGAGGAGAGAAGGCGTCCAAACACTGGCCCATGTCCCCCCACATTCCATATCACCATGACTGCCCATCCTCGGGACAGATCTCCAGTGACCTTCCTGGAAATCTCTGTCCTGACTCTGAACGTGGTATGGAGCACCCTGACCAGAGCTGGCAGACTCAGCAACAAGAGCAGGCTTTCCTTAACACCAAAAGGGAATTCAAACTTCTCAAAGTCTATTGGGACAGGCCTGGAGGAGGAAAAAAGGTGAAAGACTGGGGAAAATCATCCTTCTCTGTCCCCCACAGGCTGGGCACCCAGACGCAGCACCCGAGGCCAGGGCAGGGGAGCAGCACTGAATTCACAGCCCAAATGACCCTCAGTGCCCTTGATGTTCTCATGTCAGAACTGATACCCCACAGAGCAGCAACAAAGCAACCCTGATCTGTGGGGTTGTGAAGGAAGAGGCCCCCAAAATTCCATGCAAACTGAAGAACCGAACAAAAAAAAGTATTGATCAGCACAGGATCTGAAGCAGATAAGCAGGCTTTCTCCTCTCTGCTGGGAAGAACAACAAGCTGTCAAACCTCACATGATGTATTGAGGAACTGTGAAAAAGCTCAGAAAACTACTGAGACAACTTCTCACATTGAACTGTTTATATACTGTATGGTTTTGTAACGAAATCATAATTCATGTTGCATATAGCGAGTGATTCTCATTCTGTACAATGAGAATCTGCTGGTTCTACCACCTGGTGAGATCAGCATGGTTGCTTTTCCTTCAGTCCTCCCTTTGGCATTTTGTGTTTCAGCCGTGCAGCAGCTCCTGCAAATTCCAGCTGAGCAGAGGCAAGAAAAGCCTCACAGCTGAGGAGATATTTGGGCTGTACCAAGGCGACTCCGGCACCTTTGTGAGCAGCCAGCCCACAGAGCCCCACCTCACCCCGAGCACAGCATGGCCTGAGCCCTGCCCATGGCAGAGGGGAAATTCTCCAGGCACATCCCAGGCTGTGCCCCCTGATAGCTCGCCCCTGGAATACCTACAGCTCCTCCCCTCCATCCTGATGGGCACTGCCCGGGAGAGGGTTGGGATGCACCTCCTCAACACTACATCCCTGTCACGGTGGCGCAGGAGGGATTTCCTGCAGTGGTTGGGGCACACCTTGGAGCACCTGCGCTGCTCCCTGCAGCTGAAATGCCTTGACCACTTTGTCATAGGCAACAAGAGKGCTCCTTGTGGCAGACCCCATCTCCTCTGTCCCAGGGACTCCTTTGGGTCCTGCAGTTTACTCCTCAGGGGTTGTAATAACTCTGCCATCACCTTTGCCATCACCTTTTCTCCACTCCTTCTGATATACACTTGCTGTATCTTTCTGACTAGCTCATCCAGGGGCTTATTCTGCCTTTCTTCTAGCCCCGCCACTATTGCCTGTGGGTGCTCCATTTTCACACAGTTCAAAATCACTCGTTTTTCCAGTGACTCAAATAAAATCCTTAAAAGAAAATCCTGATCTTTCCATGTAAATTTGCATTTCCCAGATATTCCTTTTGCAGTGTCCAAACGCAGCCCCCCTGGCATTCTCAGGGGGCAGGGCCGGCAGCATCACAGGCAGCTGGAGCGCCTCACAGCCTCATGGAGACTGGAGGGCACTGCTGCCCCTACCCGGGGCAGGTCATCGGGTCAGGGACCGCCCGGCACTGAGCCCACAGCTGACCCACAGCCACGGCCTGGCCTCGCACCTCCCCACAGGACCCCAGCCCGTGCTCCCAGTCCTGCACATCACGCCGGGTACTGCTGCTCCTTGCCTTAACTACATTGCTCTGTACTCCTTTTATTGCCCCACCTCCCCAGGCATGGACTGTCAAGCCCCTTCTCGATTCCCCTTATTGCCCTTCCTGGGCATGGATTGTGGAGACCTTTTCTTGACTTTCCCTTACTGCCCCATTTGGGTGTCCAAGTCTTCAATGACATCTGGGACAATGTGCAAACCAACTCAATATTCTCCCAAGGTACTCTTCGGAGATATTTTGGGATGGTCATCCATGGGCTAGGGCCCCTTCCCAGGTTTACCTGTGCTACCCTCCATGGGTGCTTTGTTTTACCTGTGCTATCCTCCTTGGGTGCCCTCCCAGGTTTACTCCCCAAAGATCAGATTTCATGCACCAGTGAGGTTTTCAGCGGTTCTTCCCTGCGGACTCTTCACAGACCCCCTTGGTCCACCACTTGTCTGTCTCCTGGACAGTCTCAGGAACCCAATAAATCGCCCGGTGCCGGCTGCCACCAAGAGGAGCTGATCACCAAAACTGGGTGAGGCACGCCTTCAGCCCCACTTGCTGCCTGCAGCCCCCGGACGGTGGAAGGATCCCAAAACGAACCCATTTGCTAGGAAAATTAATCCTAATTAACAGCAGAGGTTTATGTCCAAAAAGGAGACAGAGGAGTCCTGATACTTTATTCGAATAAAAGGAGAAGCAATGGGACATTTCCATGGGGTCTCTCAAATTGTTAGAGGATGCAGCCTCCTTTTTGTCCTAATTTCCTGGCTGCATTTCCCTCTCTCTTTCCCCATTGGCTGAGGTACTTGAGAGGTACAGACTCCTCAAGTCGTCTAATACAGACCCCCATCTAATGTGCATCCTCCCCACACTTTTTATTCTTTGTGTCTCAGTTCTTTTTCTCCAAGTGCAGGGATTTAGCACTGCCTTGAGTGAGTAACAGTCTGTCAATGGGAGGAATTCCTATGGAATTCATTGTTCCCCCCATTACTCCTTTTACCTATCAGTGTCTGGGCTTATCTACCAGCAGACCCATAATTTGTTTGTAAGGACATTGATCATTCCTTTCACTCTGAATAAATGGCCTAAATGGCCTAAATGGCCTCTCCATTACACATTCCAAAGCCCCTTTTCTTTCCACCCGTTTTGCTGTCAGGGTTTGTGTTGACTTAGCAGCCTTTAGTCTTGGGGCCATGGCCTCCCCACCCTGAAAGTGTCAAGCTGTGATCATTTTCTCATGTATTCTTTTCTCCTTATCTTTTCGTCAGTGCAGCTGCAGCCAGGGCCCCATTCAGAGTCTTAGTGGCTCTCCCTGCACCTTTGTATAGCTCTGCTATAATGCGCAAAAAAATCCTTCATGGAAATGTTTAAGTCACAAGTCATAACACTTCAGTCATTTCAAGTTAACCACAAGTACTATAAAACAACATCAGTCATATTATAACCGCATCTAAGTTATAAAAGAAAAACCAAAACCACCAGTGGTTATTTCACCACTATGTCTGCATAATTAAGCTATTTATGTAAAAAAGGCAACATTGTACAGTAAGCACCCATCTTAGTATATTAGTGAAAGCCAACACTATAATATTTGTTTATAACACTAACTATGTATTTATACCTTTTGAGTCACAGGTATTTATAATGATTTACTTTTAGTATTTATTATTCCTCTGGGGCCGCGCTCCCCTCACAGCCCCTGATGGTGGCAGCAATGGCACTGCAAAGGCAGTTTTTAAAATTATCAGCCCAGTGCTTCCTTTGTGCTGTGYCTTACGCTGCTGTTTTACTCTGTTTTTCGTGCCTGACTGTGAAGAGAAGCCCTCCAGGAGAGCAGAGCCTGCTGAAATATCTGAGATCCTCGCCCTAAGCAAGACATGGAATAGCACAGACTGCTAAAAAGATTCCAGCTCTTCTGAGGGCACAGAGCTGAAACTGTTTAATGTGATATTTGGTTGTCCATGTCTGTATAAAAGAATGCTCTAAAGTGTCAGCTTTCAAGCAAATGTGCGAGATTGACCTTTACTGTGCTAGTTACAGTCTTTTAAACCCAGCCTTCTGCATGACTTCTCTGCTGTTGTGATGCAGGGAAGTTAGAAGTTACAGGGTAACTTGTTAGAAACTGCCTGCTTAACAGTATATATCACTAACTGCTTGYTAGACAGTGTATATTGCTTACTTAACATTGATTGTGTTTGTCAAAGCAGAATGAGAATGTTAGGAAAATTAATCCACAAGCACCAGAGGTTTCTGTCCAAAAAGGAGACAGAGGAGTCCCGCAACTTTATTCATGAATAAAGGGAGAGCTCATGGGCATTTCCCATGGGGTGTCTCAAATTCATAGAGGACACAGCCTCCTTTTTCCCAATTTCCYGGCCGCAGTTCCCTCTCTCTTTCCCCATTGGCTGAGGTACTTGAAAGTTACAGGCTCCCTTCTATCATACATTGCCCCCTTTTAATATACATCTCTGTGTCTCTGCTCAGGTAGTCTATTAACATAGACTGGGGTAAGCCAATCAGTAGAATTCCTATGCAAATCCTTCCTATTGTTTCTTTCTATCTCCCAATATCAGCCTTATCTCACCCCAGAGTCAGAGTCTGTTTGTAAAGACACTACCTTCTCATTCCTTTCAATYCCTCCTCTTTTTATTTTATCAATAATTGTCTTTACAAACTTTAGTTATCGTTTACTTGATTTTCTTCTTCTGGGTCTAAAAAAAATTATTCTCCCCAAACCTAAAAAATAATTATTCTGGCCCAAACCTAACTGACAATATAAAGGTAAGATTAYTAAGAAAAACATTCTAATGGTGTAATCTAATCACCTAATTTTATCTTCTGCACGACCTGTGGCAAGTGAAGGCACAGAAACAACTCAACATAAAACAAAGACAGCAAGTATTATCCCCCTGCAGTGACTGGAGACCTGAAAGGAGGGATGCCCACACAGACTGTTTCAGCAGGCTGTGCGTAGGCACAGGGGCTTCCCCCGATGTCAACGCACTGGCTGCTGCTCCAGTCCACTCCTGCGGAGTGTCAGTTGTGGCCTCCCATCCTTCTCCTCCAGCTGAGATGTCAAAATTTCTGGGGCTTTAGGGACCTTGACCCGAGTGTGATGGGTCCACCCGTGTTCTGCTGTCTTGATGGCTGTTTCTGTGGTCAGTAACACTTGGAAAGGTCCATGCCACTTCACTACCCGTGGTGCTTCTTTCCACTCTTTAACCAGGCCCCACTGTCCTGGTTGGATGTTGTGAACAGCCAAAATCCAAAGGCAGGGTCTGTGCCAGCTGAGTCTCCTGTTGAAGAGATTTCACAAGAGACAGTATCCTGGCCGCATATTGTCTTAAATATACATCACTGATCTCTGTTCCTCCACTAGGCTGACAATTACAAGTGTGAGAAATCCCAAACATCCTAGAAATAACTTAAAACCAATCCTTTAGTTGCTGAAGCAGTTGGAAATTCTTCTGGCCTCCCTGTTAGTTGACATACTATTGCCAGAAGATATTTTAACCTTGCCACTTGGGGCATTTCAGTAAAGTCCATCTGGCATTTTTGGAAGGGACTGCAGCCTGAGGCTTCCCTCCCCTGGAAGTTTTTTTTGTAACCCTGTAATTGGTTTTAGCACAAATCAAACAACCCTCAACAGCTCATTTTGCCAGAGTAAAAAGACCCACAGCAACATATATTTTGAGGGCGGCTTCTGCCAAACCTCGAGAGCCCCAATGACTCCCTTCGTGGAGTTGCTTTAAGGTTAGAGCTTTTGGTATCTACTGTTTGCCATTTCTTGTAGAGACTTCTGGCAGCAGTGCGCTTTCTGACCATCTTTGTCAGCCAGTCGGTTACCTAGTGCTTCTTCTAAGCACACTGCCTGGTGCCCCTTAATGTGTATTCTTGCCACYCTTTTTGGAAAAATTCACCACCTCCAACAGGTGAGAAATTAAACTCTCAAGAGCTAACTTTTTTCCTAGCAGGTTAATAAACCTTACCCCTAATTTTCCAAATGCATGTATCACCCCATATGCATATTTAGAATCAGGAAAAATACTATCTTGTCCTGATACTATTCACAGACTTTTACAAGCACATACAGCTCTGCTGTCTGAGCTGACCAGGGGGGCGGTAACCTCCCCCCTTTCTTTCATTCCCTTCTATTGATGATAGATATCCTTTGAATCGCTTCTCTTTTATCACCCTTGAAGATCCATCAATAAACACTTTTTCTCCCTCAGGCCAGGGAGCATCTTACAAATCTTCCCCAGCCTAGGTCTGGAGATCTCTTACTTAAGTGCAGTCATGGGTTTCTTCCTGGCCCCCTCCTCAGGGCCATTCAAATAGGAGGCAAGGTTAAACCCTTTCCCACTTCTCAATTCTAAATCCTCCTCTTTTATTAAACAAGTTTCATACTGTAATAGCCAAGCACTGCCCATCCGCTTAGACGCCATTTTTTTACATGGTTTACAAAGCTTTACCCTAATGTGAAACTTTAACATCAGATATCCTCCCTTTGCCAGTCCTCAGGCTTAAGTCACCATCAATGCTATGGCTGCACAACTCTGCAGACAATGCGGCCAGCCTCTGGCCACTGGATCCAACAACTTAGAAAAATAAGCAACATGCCACCGTGCTCCCCCATGCTCTTGTACCAGAATTCCTCTAGCATGGCCCTGTTTAACAACTATATACAGCTCAAGTTCTTTTTCTGAGTCTGGAAGAGCTAAGACTGGGGCATTACCTAATTTGCCTTTTAATTTTCCAAAGCTTTGCTCTCCTTCTGGCATCCAAACTACAACATTAGGATTGTCTTGTGTTAAAAAGTCATATAAAGGTCTGGCTACAACAGAAAAATCCTCAATCCATGTTCTGCAGTACCCCACTACCCTCCAAAACCGCCGTAACTCCTTATCTGTCTGGGGCAATGGCAATTTTAATATTCCTTGTGTTCTTTCCGGAGTCACACACCGCCAACTTCCAGCCAAAATGCGTGCCAATTTTTCTTTTTTTTTTTTTTTTCTGCCAACTGTGCAGCCCCCCAGACACTCCAAGCCCCCCTCTAGCAAGAAAATTAAGCAGCTTCACAGTAGCCTCCCCAACTACCCCTTCTTGTTTTTGCGGCTTGAGTGGCTCCTTCTCGCGTCCCTGTGGATACACCCAACATGTTGGAGCGGGAAGAGGGATGAACCCCTACCAGTTCCTCCTCCCACCTCTGGAAAGCCCTCCACCTTGCAAGTCTTTGCAAGCAGGCACAGCCCGGGGTCGAGACACACACATCGTCCACACCTTTCTCTTTAGTAGTGTCAATTTGCATTTCCAAGAACGTGCTCCTGGCCGCTTGGAAAGGCAGCCCCTTGGCAGCCACACACACACACACACACACACAAAGAATCTCCAAAACGGTACTCAATAGCACACACTAGAACTAAACAGACACACCAAAGTTATGTTTCAACACTCTTTTAGCAAATTACTTCTATTTCATGGGCGTCCTCACCCTGATTTTATTTTCTGGGGGAAACATAAATTAACACACACACAC